TACCACGAATCAGGATAATGCTATCCACATTTAAGCTGGGACTGTAATTCTGACATTGTCGAGATTTACTCTAAACCTCATTCACTTATATTAAACGTTTTACTAGCGAAATCAAAACGATTAATAAACTGTAATTTGTGAGGTGACCAAGTTTCTGGTCTTGAAAGCCAGTTACACTGTTAAGATATGCGTTTAGGTGCGAAATAAATGTGTGTTTGTATATATATATATATATTACATGTTGTTGAAGGGAACATTTAGTTATTCTTCCTTAATGTTTTACGACTACTTACGGTGACAGCGCGATGTTGTTGTTGTCAGTTCCACAATAAAATTAAAAATAACATAATCCGTGTATATTAAAATAATACCTTCCAATTTATATGTACATACACCGTAATCATTACGTAATTTAAATATAAGAAAATAATTATTTGCAAAGCTTTAGAGCTCATTGTAATTTAGTTTTGCGCGCCGCCTTGTGGCATAATTAATAAGCAAATAGTTTCAGAATATTCCGCATTTCAGATTAGGCCCAGGTATTTGGAACGAATTTCAAACTGTCTTTGCTATCACTGTGAGAAATGAAGTAAATCACAGAATATCACACTAGCTTTCATGAAGATTACTTCCTTGTATGGAGGTTAACAATTTAATGCGACACTAAGCGTTTATTCTTCGTGCACGTTTACTATTCAACACAAGATAGAAACGTTAGTATACAGAACATACACCTACAAATCATATAGTTTAGTGTTAAGTTTCCTGCATTAATATCTGTTTGTGCTCAATTTTTTCATTGGAGATATTACTTGAGATAATTATTCTGAATAAACAAAGATGTTACATTAGAAAGTAGTCCACATACCAAGGCAAAAAACACATAATATGTATTCAAAGTAATCAAGTTTTAACAAACATATTTCTACTTGAAAAATTTTTGTTTAGAAATTCACTGTTTTCTTTTTCTCATGATGTCTGTGTTGTATTTAATATATCGAAAATGTTGAGCTAAACCAATAAAGCGTTCCTAAGACTGTTTTGTGCCTGTATTTTGGTAGCATAAAATACATGTTGTGTATTTGGACCACACTTTGTTTTTAGGGGTATATTAAATAGAAAATTGTATTATATTTAATTTCCCATTTACAAGAAGAAACACTGGACTATATAACATGCCTTTCGTTTATTTGACAATGTGGTATGATAAACTGAACTGAATGCTGCTTCTTGGTCTCTATATATCCAATGTATTATTAATGAGAACAGGCTATCTTTAATAAGAACCTTGTTTTTTAAATAACTTTTTTCTCTATGCTTATTAGTCATGTTACGTTTTAGAATTTCGAAAGGTCTGAAATTGAGTTAACGTGTAATTTAGATTTAGCAATTAAATATTTGCCGATATATCTCCAATTTATGATATTGGCCAACAAGAGTGATATACACAGTTTTCCTTGTTAACACAGATACGTTTTAATATAAACACAACCATACAATTTACAATAACAGTTATTAC